TTGCAAGCAACGAGTGAATTGGTTGATAAAGTAGGATCTTTGATTGATCTATATACTTCTATATACAGTAAGTTCATATACTTAGAAGGCAACAATACCTGGACAGCTAAATTGCAGTCAATTGAACAGGTAGATTGCAGGCGGCAGTGGATCGCTTACTTCTAACACACCGCCTCGAGTGGCAAGATCGTCTCTCTACATGTGCAAGGGTGCAATGTAATATGCGATAGAACAACTTCCTTGGGATTGGATGCCTCAAACTGGTTCAACAGTACTGAACTCACCTCCGTATGGTAAATGGCCATGACAGCCGTTAACGGCAATCTGGAAACTTGAGATAGTTTTAACACGATTAATGCATCAGATTTATTATTATAATTTCAAAACGTTTTGTTGACCCAAGTGATTCTTGAAAATGCTGGTCGATTGGTTCGACTAACTATTTGCTTGAAGCGTTATGTGTCGTTAAGTCTCAAATCTCACATCAAAAATACAACTTGAATTTGAAAAGAAACGTGTCTGCTGCCTTGACAACGCTGATTTTGTTGACGCAGAGACACACACACTGTATATGCAACTGATTGGTATATTACGGTGGTTGGTTGAGCTTGGAAGAATGGACGTTTGTGCTGAAGTCTCAATGATGTCTTCGTACAATGCCATGCCTCCTGTTGGACACTTTTCATGCAGTATTACACCTTTTTGGTTATCTTGAAACACATCCAAGCCGTGAGATTGTCATGGATTCCGCATATATGGCTCTGACCGACATACCAAAATCTGAATGGCATGAATTCTATCCATGGGCAAAAGAAGTACTGCCTCCTGATATGCCAGAAGCCCTTGGACAAGCGGTAAAGATTGTGATGTTTGTTGATGCCTCACATGCTTCCAATCTTGTTACACGTCAATCCAGAACAGGTGTTCTTATCCTCTTAAATCATGCACCGATTGTTTGGTATTTGAAGAAGCAGAATACTGTCGAGACAAGTTCTTTTGGAAGTGCATTTGCTGCATTGAAGACTGGTGTTGAATTGGTTGAAGGTCTAGTATACAAATTGCAAATGATGGGCATACCAATTGATGGCCATTGCCATACTCTTGTTGATAACAACTCTGTTGTGATGAACGCAAGTCGCCCAGAATCTGTCTTGAAAAAGAAAAGCAATTCTGTTGCTTATCATTATGTTCGTTCAAAATGTGCAAGTGATCTTATTCGGGTTGCTTGGGAAGGAACCAAAACAAATCTTGCCGATATGTTGACAAAGATTCATACTGGTAGAGAACGTGCTCGTCTGGTGGAATTTATTATGTATGAAGAAGACAAAATTCCGAGAGTGGTACAATCTGCAATCAAAGCTCTGAATGTGCTTTTTGGTCTGCCTCCACACTAAAGCCGATGAATTGCCTTTGGTTTCAGTGGGCATGGTCATCCTTGGACTGTGTCGGCTTGGGTGTCCTCCACGAGAGGTACACTGCATTTTATGTCATTGTTACAATGTTTCTTGATTCATGTATCAAGTCAACATTGAGGGGACCATTTGGCGGCACATATCGGATAAATGGGGTTTGCAAATCAGCTCACGACTACCAGCTTCTACGTACGTGTACATGTCGTCAGCTGGAACCAAATCCGGGCTATTTTCTTTCAAAAAGCAAATCAAAATATATGAGGGGAGAGTTTCAGGGGATATGAGAGACTCGTGAAACACCAGTGCTTAAAATAATAATCAGGAAGATCCAGTTCTACCGGTAGATTGGATGGTCCTGGATCATCAAATATAAAGAATAAGCAAACTAAAAACATTCTATACCAGCCACTTGCAATCTGATACGCAAACCTGCTTTTCCAGAATGGACGCAACCTAACCAAACCACCTCAGCTCCAGTTGAACAAGTTCTGGCCTTCCTAGAGAATGTGACAGTATATTGGCAAACCGGAATGACTAGCGTTACATGGTGATGGAGATGTATAATAGTAGAACGTATTGTTCAAGCTTCTAGCTTGATTCTCTATTGACTATAATTTTTGTCTTCAACAGTAGTATCCAGTTTGAGTGTCGTCTTGTCATTGTTCAAGTCAAGTCACTGTCTCCGCATTGGCAGAATCAAGCCCTCATTTGTTCTATTCTATTCTCTCGTCAGAATTTTTTTCACAAAGAACTCTGCAAGCGTCTTTCTATACGATAGTAGACAGCTTCGTTCAAAACACTGGCCTGGAGAAAAAAAATTGGCCACAATGGAGCCCAGTCGGGATTCTGCGTTTGTTGTCGTTTTTAAATCTTTCCCAACCAATGTTGATTATTGTGTCTTCGATCTTTGCATACACATGTAGTATATTTGCGATGAAATTGAGCCTTGCGTTCGCCCTTTACGTTTCTACCCAAACAACAAGCCGATTGATGCTTCAGGTCCAGATAATCAGCAAATTGCACAGGCTCGTTGTCGCAAGCCTCAGAGAAGTGTATACTTCACTAGAATCGCAGCGATAATCTCAACTGGTAGATTTGACTGCTCTCTCATGCCTTGTTTGACCTTTCCAGGATGATGTCGATTCAATCACAAGATGATGCAATCAAGTTGTTAAAACCACTTTCCAACAAGCGCGAAGTTGGGGGGTGGTTGCACTTCTATCGATCCGTAGGACCTCTCGATCGATTGCATGTCTCTCATAACAAAAATCCTGACTCCGAATCCACAATGCTGGCGTATTGTCGCAGCTCGCGTGAAGCTGATGATTCATTCTCCGCTTGTTGTGCTGCTTGTTGCACTGGAGTCTGCCGTTCTCGCTTCAGGCGCCTGTCATGTCGTCATTTTTATCTCACTAGGTCGCAACTGTTGTGGTGCTGCTTGTTTGTTTTGCGGTTCCTTGGCTTTTGTCTGCAAGCTTGAAGTTGATGTGATGTCGATGCAAAACAATGACACATATTACAAAATGCTTCAGACCAGTGCAGCTCACGACAAAAGAGCTAGCGACATATCCGGGTTAGAAGTGCTTTATTTTTGATTTTCAAAAACTAATGGTCTGCCCTCCGGCATATTCATATCTCACGATATTTCATGAGGAAAGCTGACGACACGTAGAGGTGGTACGAAAATACGGCGGTTTTCAAAAATACCCAACCCCATTTAGGCCAAAACTATTGACACGGAAAACGGAAAAACTGCCCCTTTTTCCGTTCCAAACAGCAAATTTCGAATCCATCCCATGGCGGTGGAAAAGGCCTGTGGTGGGGGACAGTAACCAATTCCAGTCCTCCAGACGGAAAATCACCCTAAACGGAAAAACAAACTTTCCGACAACCCGATTCGATCGGAAAAATGGCTACTTTTTCCAATCTTGGAAAGTCGATCGGAAAGTTAATACGACACCATTTTATCCAATCAAAACCATTCAACATCATTTACACGATTTTTTACTGCACAGCATGATGCATCTCAACATAATGTTTGGCACAACATCTTCAACACCAAAACACGATGCAAGCGGAAACAGTGGATCCACTTGATGACGACCATGGCATGGAGCAACTTGGTAGAGTCGTGCAGAAAATACTTGGAATGTGCATTTTGAATTCTCAAGAAGTGGCTGCGAAGGTAGAATACTGTTAACGATGCTATAGATCCGAGACCGATATAGCCAGACAGTAAGATAAAACAGAGATTCTATCCTTTTAATGATGTGATGTGATTTTACGATCTCCACAAAAGAGTGAGAGATGGAATTCACTCAAAGAGAGAGAATTCAGACAGTAGGTCCGTCTCACGTGACACTGACGTGGTGACGTGAGATTGGACAATATGTGTGTTGAAGTGCGCGTGCCCAAATGGAACACGGAATCTCAAGCGAAGATCAACGTCCTATGAGGAAGCCAAAACGGGAGGAATATATCAGCAGAATTCCACCCTAACACTCCCTCTCTTCCGAACATTGGACTTGACTTGAGTCGTATGATGTGCTTGACAGATAAGAAGGTTGTTACCAGCCGCAGAGTAGCTTTCTGCATCAAAGAAACTTGTCCTTGGTAAGTCCTTTGGTAAGGATATCAGCCTTCTGTAGGTTGGTTTTGATGTAGACCACTTTAGTGCGTGTCGGCTTCAAGTACTGCCAAAACCAATGGGACCGGACCCAAAAACTCTTCGACCTTGGAGTATGATGGCCTGGTTCCATACATGCCAACTTCTGGGCACCTTGGTTGTCTTCATGAATAGTTGTGCTGAATTGAGTGCAGAACTCCTTGCCGATTCCAACAGCGTGGCCAATCGTCTTGAATAGTTCCTGCAAGGGTAGCACGTCCCTCATAGATAAAGCGAGAGCATTATACTCCGCTTCCATAGTAGAAGCTGCAATAGGTCGCATCAATTGACTCTTCCAAATGATTGGACATCCACAGATACAGATTGCATATCCTGCTCTGCTTCGTACCGACTCAGGATTCGTATGTTCCTCGACGTTCCATAGACCCGCGAAGTCAGCATCGACGTAGCAGTCAATATCAAAGTCTTCTCTTGGATTCAGGATCAAACCTTTGTCCATCGTGCCCTTCAAATACTGTCCGATTCGTTCGATCGCTACTTTGTGACTGGGTCGATTCCCGTGTATGAATTGTGCGACTTGAGAAACTGCAAAACAAATATCTGGACGACTGTGTCCAGACAAATACAGGAGCATTCCAACAACTGAGACATAGTTGTACAGACCATCAGGTAGAGATGGAATTCACTCAAAGAGAGAGAATTCAGACAGTAGGTTCGTCTCACGTGACACTGACGTGGTGACGTGAGATTGGACAATATGTGTGTTGAAGTGCGCGTGCCCAAATGGAACACGGAATCTCAAGCGAAGATCAACGTCCTATGAGGAAGCCAAAACGGGAGGAATATATCAGCAGAATTCCACCCTAACACTCCCTCTCTTCCGAACATTGGACTTGACTTGAGTCGTATGATGTGCTTGACAGATAAGAAGGTTGTTACCAGCCGCAGAGTAGCTTTCTGCATCAAAGAAACTTGTCCTTGGTAAGTCCTTTGGTAAGGATATCAGCCTTCTGTAGGTTGGTTTTGATGTAGACCACTTTAGTGCGTGTCGGCTTCAAGTACTGCCAAAACCAATGGGACCGGACCCAAAAACTCTTCGACCTTGGAGTATGATGGCCTGGTTCCATACATGCCAACTTCTGGGCACCTTGGTTGTCTTCATGAATAGTTGTGCTGAATTGAGTGCAGAACTCCTTGCCGATTCCAACAGCGTGGCCAATCGTCTTGAATAGTTCCTGCAAGGGTAGCACGTCCCTCATAGATAAAGCGAGAGCATTATACTCCGCTTCCATAGTAGAAGCTGCAATAGGTCGCATCAATTGACTCTTCCAAATGATTGGACATCCACAGATACAGATTGCATATCCTGCTCTGCTTCGTACCGACTCAGGATTCGTATGTTCCTCGACGTTCCATAGACCCGCGAAGTCAGCATCGACGTAGCAGTCAATATCAAAGTCTTCTCTTGGATTCAGGATCAAACCTTTGTCCATCGTGCCCTTCAAATACTGTCCGATTCGTTCGATCGCTACTTTGTGACTGGGTCGATTCCCGTGTATGAATTGTGCGACTTGAGAAACTGCAAAACAAATATCTGGACGACTGTGTCCAGACAAATACAGGAGCATTCCAACAACTGAGACATAGTTGTACAGACCATCAGGTAGAGATGGAATTCACTCAAAGAGAGAGAATTCAGACAGTAGGTTCGTCTCACGTGACACTGACGTGGTGACGTGAGATTGGACAATATGTGTGTTGAAGTGCGCGTGCCCAAATGGAACACGGAATCTCAAGCGAAGATCAACGTCCTATGAGGAAGCCAAAACGGGAGGAATATATCAGCAGAATTCCACCCTAACACTCCCTCTCTTCCGAACATTGGACTTGACTTGAGTCGTATGATGTGCTTGACAGATAAGAAGGTTGTTACCAGCCGCAGAGTAGCTTTCTGCATCAAAGAAACTTGTCCTTGGTAAGTCCTTTGGTAAGGATATCAGCCTTCTGTAGGTTGGTTTTGATGTAGACCACTTTAGTGCGTGTCGGCTTCAAGTACTGCCAAAACCAATGGGACCGGACCCAAAAACTCTTCGACCTTGGAGTATGATGGCCTGGTTCCATACATGCCAACTTCTGGGCACCTTGGTTGTCTTCATGAATAGTTGTGCTGAATTGAGTGCAGAACTCCTTGCCGATTCCAACAGCGTGGCCAATCGTCTTGAATAGTTCCTGCAAGGGTAGCACGTCCCTCATAGATAAAGCGAGAGCATTATACTCCGCTTCCATAGTAGAAGCTGCAATAGGTCGCATCAATTGACTCTTCCAAATGATTGGACATCCACAGATACAGATTGCATATCCTGCTCTGCTTCGTACCGACTCAGGATTCGTATGTTCCTCGACGTTCCATAGACCCGCGAAGTCAGCATCGACGTAGCAGTCAATATCAAAGTCTTCTCTTGGATTCAGGATCAAACCTTTGTCCATCGTGCCCTTCAAATACTGTCCGATTCGTTCGATCGCTACTTTGTGACTGGGTCGATTCCCGTGTATGAATTGTGCGACTTGAGAAACTGCAAAACAAATATCTGGACGACTGTGTCCAGACAAATACAGGAGCATTCCAACAACTGAGGCATAGTTGTACAGACCATCAGGTAGATCTCCCTCCGCATCGATCGCCAATGGATCAACGTGAGCTGGTGTAGGTGAGGTCTTCTGGACGCCAAGAGCATCGACAATACGCTTGATCAGACCTTTCTGAGTCAAGGTGATAGCTCCGGTTTCTTCATTGCGTTCGATGTGTACGCCCAGAAAACCAGCAACAGACGCCTCTTCTTCGAGCTCCATTCCTTTTTCTCTCAGCTTGGCGATGGCTTCATTGATATACTTCTGTTCAGGTGAGAAGAACAAAGTGTCATCAACATAGACCAGACAGATACAGTTTTTCGAGATGAAAAGACATGGGTCGACTTCGGTTTGAGGCTCGAATCCAATGTCCTCCAAATTAGACTGCAGGAATTGAAAGAAATTTCTGGGGCTTTGTTTTAAACCATAGAGACATCGTTTGAGTTTCAATACCTTGTTGGGTTCCGAGAACCCTCGAGGCATCGCGACATAGACTTCTTCCTCGATTGGCGCATGTAGGAACGCCGTAGTGTAATCAACTTGCTTGGTAGAGAGGCCAAGTACTTGAGAAAGAATTAGCATGAGGCGCACTGTGTTCCAGTTGACAACAGGTGCCCATGTTTCATGGAAGTCGACGTCCTGGATTTGTCGATCGCCACGAACACAAAATCTTGCCTTGAGTTTTCGGACACTTCCGTCTGGGTCGTAGAGGTCCATTCATTGCTTCATTCCAGTTTGGGTTGTCTTCACTGTTTGCTTTCGCAGCTAGAATCATGGGATGCAGGTCGTCTTGGAGCCCCGTGTCGTGATCGTGGTACGGCTCACATGCCTCTCTCCACATGCGACCAAAGTTGTCTCCCTTGAGTGTGTCAATGGCTTCCGCCCATTTCAACCCAGCAAAGAACTGACGATCCAAAGAAGAATACCGGATCTTCTTCTTGCCAAGGTCAGCGACAGTAGCAAAGTCATCCCCAAAGTACTTTGAATTCTTCTTGCGAACGCGTCCGGTTCGTGATGGTGGTAGTGGCGGAGCAGCAGCTCCCTCTGATTCGGACTCCCCTAGATCGTCATCTTCGGCCTCATCACCTTCAACAACAGATCGGTCGTCATCGTCGACGGTTACGAAGGGATCTGGTACTGATTCTTCTGCAAGTGACTCATCGTCATTCGCATCGTGAGGGGCAGTTCCATCTTCATTGACATCGCCACGACTGTCTCCCTCTGGAACCTCGAAAGTGACACTGTGACGGCTCCGTTCAGCTCGATGGCGACGTTCTGCGGCGATCCTTTGACGTAATCGCGCTTCGCGTGCCGCCCGCCGCGACTGCCGAGCACGTTGCTCAACGGGATTTAACCATTCGTTCGCCAATGTAGGAGGATTTCGGCGATCACTACGATTTCCACTCGCCAAACCTTCCTTGTCCAAATGCTTTTCGTATCCTGTTTCCAACAGATTCTTCCAAGTCGTTGCATCGAATTCAGCAACATCAAACAGTCCTCCCTGATCTGCATTGGGAACTGTCGTGAAAAGGTCGTCTATCACGACATGGTACTGTGGACTGACATATCCTGTTTGGAGATTCAAGAAACGGCTCACGAGTGAAGAGTGAGTGGGAGAGACCCCAAGGTACATTCCTCGCCTCGCTCGGGCGTCCCACTTTGGAATCTTCTTTCCATCCTGCAGCTTTGGGTCCAACACATACACCGGCGAACCCCACACGTGGAGACGTTGAAACCATTGATGATGGTCGATCTTGGATTCACCGAGGAGCTCAATTGGCGCTTGCTTGGTATCCTCGCGTGGTAAATGATTCCACAGGTAGACTGCATGATCCATAGCAAAGGGCCACAACTTGTGATCTGCTTCGTCTGGCCAATGCAACATTTGGTGTAGAAGCATGGCACGAGCCCAGGTAGTGATGGTTTGGATCGCCCGTTCGGCAGCCCCATTCTGATGTTGAGCTCCGACTCCAGAGTAATCGATTTTCTGTTTCTGCGACTTGACATCGTCCGTGAATCCTTTAGAACTGAAAGGGTGGTTGTCAGCATGGTAAGCTTTGACCTTGTGACCGTAGTCACCAATCTCCCTCTCAAACGAATGCTTGCTCTTCACAGTTTCTCTAGTGCCAGTGGAGGTCTGGTGATTGATGTAGACAAAACCAGATGCATGGTCAACAAACAGAGTTCCTCCAACATATTGCTTGGAAGTCTTCTCTCCGCCAAAAGTATGTGCAAGTCGACCAGGAACAGCCAAGATATACTGGTCAACGGAGACCCTGTCGCCTGGCTTGAGGTTGTCAACCATTAGCTCCTTTTCCTTCTTCCGCTTATCCGTCCGCTTCGAGCCAGGTGGCTTAGTTGCAGCGTCAGATCTTGGACTGCGTCGGCGTTGCTTCGATAGCTGGCACACAGTGCATTTGGGACAATCGCAGGACTTAAACTCGTCTTGCTTGGCTGGCAGAGGCCCCATTGCTGGATGACCTTCCTTCTTGGTCCACTTGGAGAGCTTCAGAAGCCATTTCATATTTGCATGGCCTGTCTTCGCGTGCCAGAGAAGCAACTTCTTCTCTGCTCTGGTCAAATTCGCGTTGTTCTCATGAGCAACATTCAGGAACACACTCATGTCGTCTTCCAAGTGTTCATCTTCTTCATCAGTGATGACATGTGCAGTTTCCTCCACGAGGCGATTTGCTGGTAGCATCATGGGAAGGTTGTTGCTCGCTTGATATGGAAAGAACAGACTGTCACCATCAGGTAACGTCAGCTTCACTTGTTCTCCATCAAAACAAACATGGCCACTGCCGTGTTGTTGAAAGTAGGACTGTGGTGAGAGCAATCGGATTTGAGCGTCTGGATTAACACGAATTGACTTGATTGTGCCATGCAAATCCCTAACTTTCCATTCCACTTCTCCAACTCCCAGCACAGAAACCTTGGAGGACAGTCCATTGAGACTCGTCGTCCCACAAGCAATTGGTTTGGTAACGAAGTCTTCAAGATTTGGAGTTAGTGAGAAAGATGCTCCGGTATCGATGACAATTGGTAGGTCGTCCTTGGAATCAGCATTGATATAGACGCTTCGAAGTCGGTCGGCACTAGACAAGGCATCCGACACTAGGTCATCTGCGGCGATGAGTGCTTGAGTGACTCTTGGCAACGATGAAACGGGCTGAAGGAATGCCGAACTGAGGACATCCTTCATTTCTTGATGCTTGGATTGAGGACTAAAATCTGCAAGAAGCTCGTCGAGATCAACTCCGTACTTCAATTCGTACTGGAGGTAAGAGTGGTGCAAATAACGGTTTTTGTTCCGCTCGTAGTCTTCCAACAACTCCTCATCGCTTGGACTTTTCCAGTGACTAGGTTGCTTGACGCCAAAGTCGGCCCAGAATTCCTCATCCTTGAGACCGCTAAACTCCCTTGCAAGATCATCTTGCTCTTCAGGGCAGCTGGCTTGAACTAATCTGTTGAGTACACGAAACTTGGCTTGCTTTCGACGCTTTTCTGGACGTCGGCCCTCTTTTGCTTCCTTGCTGCATCGCCATTGACGCTTCCTTTCCTGCTTCTGCTCTCAAACCCCTTCCTTCCGTTGTCTCCGGAGTATGTTCCTAGGATCTCCTTTGACGCGCGCGATACGAAGTCTCAGATGGTACTGACGCGGGTAACGATATCGACGAATGCCGCACCACCACGGGTACGCTGACGGCAGTTCCACAGTGATCTTCCTACGCGGCTTTTCAACTGATGGCAACTCCCCATACATTCTTCTTGGTTGTTGTACATTGACATATGCCTCTCCATGGGCATAAAGTACTCCAGATGGGCGACACCCCAAACTGGGCATGGACTGTTTCCATGACTAACATTTCCGTTTCAAATGTTGATCAGGTTGGATGTACTCATCATCGAGTCCTCGGAACAGAACAGAATCGTTCCGATACTTCAAACTCGAGCACAGATACCAGATCACTGCAGCATAAAGGCCAAGCTGCAGTACAGGTGTCCAATCCCACAGAGTCGTCTCCGCGACAGACTCGTAGATGGACCAAAGATCAAGAGTCAGACCTTGACTCTCAGGGACGTAGTTCAGAAGGCACAATCCAGACATCGCTGTCTTGTACACATCTGATAGTAGCTCGTTAAATATAGTGCAAAGTAGTAGTACACTTCCAAGCATTGCAAAGGGTGGCACGAGGGACCAAAAGTAACGTTTGATCACGTCCTCCTCGCGCCACCAGGACCGTCATGCTTGGCCCAGGTTCCTGCTGAAGTTACGAATCGCTTTGTCGACGGCATTCTTGAGAAGACGCTCCTGCAATTTGACGTCCTCAGTAGCAGCATCCGTGACATTGACCTTGGAGAACTCTTGAGAGAAGTATCCACTCATTCCCGCGAGTACACCTTTCCCTTCCTCTTGCGCAAGGTGCGCACTCGGTCCATTTGGCGACGGTTCGTCTTCGCCAGTTGTTTTCTGCTTCTTGCACTTGTACCACTTTTTGTCTTTGAAGTGATAGAAATGCAAAGTTCCATTGATTTCTTGTTCCTTGGGATCATCTCCCTTTGGAGCTGGAGGCCATTTGCTCTTTCCGGTCTTGTTGGTCTTGTCTCCCTTCTCTGAGCCCTTGGAAACTTGATCGCCCTTCTTCCCAGATTCTTTCGAGGCTTTCTTCGCTGCCTTGGCTGCATCGAAAGCAGCTTTGGCCTTCTTCCCTTCGGAATTTGCTTCCAGATTGTGACGAGGACAAGTGGCATTGCTCTGGCGACAGCTATCGCGTCCACATCCGAAACACTTGGATCCTGGTTTCCCTTTGGGTGGACCGATGTTGGCGTTGAAGGCAGCCGCTCATGTTCCCTCCGCCTCCCATTGATTCAAAAGATTGAGCCTGTCATAGAACTTACGGGCTTGGATTAAAATTGTTTCAGGCGTGCCGTATGCTGCTTCGCGCTCGCCAACAATTTCCCCTTTGGCATTGTGCTTCTCATTCTTTCGCAACATAAGGATGGTAGACTCAATTTCCGTGCAGAACTTACGGATATTGCCATCATATACCTTGGAGTACAAATTGATGCCATCACCTTCTTCGAGAGAGTTCCGAAGTGCCTTGAGTGCGTGATAGCTGCTAGCAGAGATGCGATCCATAAGAACCTTGTAGATGAGTGGTCCCCACCCCCAGAAGTCTTTCGAGATCCTTGCGCTCTTCAAGTCTTCTTCGATGCGATCAATCATATCGCTCGTGCATTGATTCTTGAGATATGTCCCAGACCATTGAAGATCTGTTGGCATCCAGGAATTCTCATCTTTACTTTCGTCATAACCGTATCCATAGAGATATACGACTGAGTCGAAGACTTCTTCCAAGGTAAGAGTTGCATAACCTGACAAAAGATTTGCCGCTCGATTCTCAAGCTTGCTTTGTTCAAATTCCCCGTTCCTGTTCTTGATGGGAAATACTGTGTTGGCAAAGAACCAATCAATCCCAAACTTCGTGAGATGCTCCGTGATGTGGTTCTCAACTTTTATAACATCGTGGACTTCACTTGTTGTCTTGGCATAAGGTATGTCCTCGATTTGCTGGTTGCGACTATCCGCTGATGTTCCGCTAGCGTCTTTTTCCATCTGATGATACGCTTTCTGATTTGCCGTTCTCAACAGTTCTCGTTCCTCCTTTGGACAGATCACAGTTGACTTGATTAGATTGATCTGAAGCTTTGGCTTGGCTGAAAAAGTGACACCACCAATAATATCCTTCGGTGGTGGTGGGGGAGTTCCGCTCTGTTGAGATTTCTGAGAAACACTCGCTGCGGGAGTATTCGGAGGTATGTTGAACTGAACATTCCTTGGAACTGGACTTCCCCGACCGTCGTCTGTTACCATATCACTAGGATTCATGCTGCTGATCACTGAATCACTGATAGGTGTCGATAGACCTTCAAATTAGTAAAAGCGTTTTTGACTTATTTGTGGACGATATTGAAACACACTTTCAATTTCCTTGTTGACAATCACAGTAAGAAGCGTAGAAGCTTGGGCTCATAACCTGCGAAGGTAGAATACTGTTAACGATGCTATAGATCCGAGACCGATATAGCCAGACAGTAAGATAAAACAGAGATTCTATCCTTTTAATGATGTGATGTGATTTTACGATCTCCACAAAAGAGTGAGAGATGGAATTCACTCAAAGAGAGAGAATTCAGACAGTAGGTCCGTCTCACGTGACACTGACGTGGTGACGTGAGATTGGACAATATGTGTGTTGAAGTGCGCGTGCCCAAATGGAACACGGAATCTCAAGCGAAGATCAACGTCCTATGAGGAAGCCAAAACGGGAGGAATATATCAGCAGAATTCCACCCTAACAGTGGCTCATGGTACTCAAGTACGCCACTTGACTTCGGGACATTGAAACCATTGGAAACATGTTCCAACTGTGTTGCATCCTTTCACAATATGCTCCAGGAACTTGATGAATATGATGACTGGGAAGAGTTTGATGTGGATGGGAATGTTGAGAGCTTGACTGTTGATCAAGACAGGAACCAGTCCTACAGCGAGAAAATGGAAGGGAAACAACCGTTGTTGATGGAGATACTAATGTTCTTGTCAGGACGAGAACCACCAATGACAAGTACACCCATAGTTTCACACGTCAGCATCACATAGAAATGACAGCAAAGTACTATCATAAAGGTAGCTTATTTCAAATCACAGTTCACTAGCTCGTTTATCATTCCAATTAAAATCTATGTTCTGTTCTCTCAGTCATAGATGTTGTCGCTATCATCATAGTCGACAAAATCAACAATCTTTGTTGCTCAGAAACTTGCATATCGGCGAAGATTTTGTGGAGCTGCTGGAATTGTTTGACTTCGGCCTTGTAGCCGGAAGTAGATTTGGTGGTCATTGTCGTTGTTTCCGATGGCTTGTTTTCAGATAGAGGATCTTTTGATTTGTTGCAGGTGCAAAGATGAATGGACGACTCTTGTTGCAGGATACCCGTGGATACTGTTGGTAAATGCTGTCAGTGAAGCTGATGCTGCAGTAGGTATCCATGATACAACATGATAGCAGCGGAAATGAAAATAAAAGGAATCCCACAGAGTTTTCAGTTTCAGTTTTCTTGTCATCACTATGGTTTCAGTTCACGGGAAGTGAAAAATGACTCGAGGCCATGCCTGCGCGCCAGAAAACTAGTGTTTTTTTCCGATGTCACTATAGTTTCGGCCTTATGAAATATGAGCCATTATTTTGGGAAGTACGTGGTCTGTCCTCCGTACGTGTAGTTTTGTAGTCTGAAAGGATCTGGTAGTCACAAGTTTTCCTTGTCTATATTACGGTGGTCGGAGTGATCGACGAAACGTTGGGGGACAGACTGGAAAGGAATCTGAGAGTTGCGGAATTTCAAAAAAAATGAGAAATTTGAAAAAACGGTATTCAACTCACCAAATGAATGAAAAAGGCTGTCTTCTCTTTCGCAGGAGTGAAAACAATTGGCCAACGGTTCGTCCATTTTGTTCCGGTGCCACCAACCTGGATCATGTAATAAGTAGTGTAAATTTCTGTTATTCAATTTACTACAAATAGCCGCCGAGAGCGCAATGACCGCTGAGTGATGGGATTGACCGCTACGAGCCAGTCGAGCCGTGGTCAATTTGACCACGAGCCAATCGAGACATCGTCAAATTGACCACGAGCCAGTAGAGCCGTGGTCAAATTGACCACGAGCCAATCGAGCTGTGGTCAATTTGACCATCCAATCATTCTTGGACAAAATTCGAAGGGCACATGGTCTTCCAGTCTATATCCAATCATACTTGGACAAAATCCTCGGGCCCCCGTGCCTCAAGACAATATGATTGGATGGTCAATTTGACCATCCAATCATATACTTGGACAAAAGAAACAATATGATTGGACGGTCAAAGTGACCATCCAATCAGAATTGGACAATATGAGACATTATGATTGGGTGGTCAATTTGACCATCCAATCATAATTTGATTAAGTGAGACATTTTGATTGGATGGTCAATTTGAGGTTTCGCAAATTTTGCGAAACTTGGCGCCGCAGGCACCATAGAAACTGCCTCTCTTTTCCCCAACTTTCGGAACCCTCCCGAAAGATAGATCGTACCATGTGCAAGCTACCGGGGTTGTACTGA